CGGATCAGAACTATATATCTTGCTATAATTATAAATGTGACAGTTTGTGTTTGGAAGTTTGTTATTCCATCAGAAAAAGAAATAAATGACATGGATGGAATTTGGCATACATATTTTACATTATTATAAAATATTTGTTATTTTTTAACCTATCAATGTATAAAAAACTTCTGAAATAAAGAAGATAAAATAATAATACTATAAATATACAAAAATGTACCGGTCTCACAAAAATATTTTTTCAAAAACAACCTGGAAAATATCATAAAGTACACCTTAAGATTTTAAAATGAAATTTGTGGAGATAAAATGTAATTTATGAAATCACCATGGATCTTCATCAAGGAACGGCCGAATCAATCAGAAAACCTAGAAACTCTCCATCCGTAATAACTACTTTCCATAGGAGTATAGAATAACGGAGAAACCATCTCTTCGTAAAAATGAAATTTTCTAGATCGATTCGAAATTATTTTGCTTCAGTCATTGAAAAATAACAATATGTATATAATACAATTTGACGGTTTGCAACAGTAGAACATTCGTGGATAGTTTTCCCAGAAAAACAGTTGGTTCAATCTCTCTAGAAAAATTATTTTGGAATTTTCGCAGCTAGTTACAAACTGATCTCACTCACCTTCTCGCCCGTCCCGTAGAAATCACAGCCCATTTGACGAGTGTCGCCCACAAGAAAAATAACTTAGCACTTAACGGGCAGAACGGTCCTCCGAACGATCTAAGGAAGACAGTGACGTTTATCGGCCAGAAGACTTCATTTTGGACTAGCTAAAAGTGCTGACCACATTGTGAGACAGGGCAATAGAATAATATTATTCTGTGACAGGGTGGCAAGCACGTGTTGTCTCCTCCCCCGCATCCCGAGAAGTAATGAGACGTTATCATTTCTCTCGGCCAGATACGGGGTATCTTCAAAGGGTGTTGAACTTGAACTTGGAGGACACTGTATTTTTTATTGTTGTTGTTTACCGGGTCCTACGCGTTCTCAACAAAGTTATTTTTGTTGTTGCAATTCGAAAAGTAAAATTAATAGCAAAAAACAATTTTAATAACAGGCTTCTCCTTACAGGCTGCCAAAAGAAAAAAATAAACGTGTAATGCAATAAATTGATGATGCCGATAATTTTTGAAACCAAGAAAAATGTTAATAGGATGGAATCTGAATTTCACTAGTTCAGACTTCCATTGTCTACTATATAAAATGATTTGAAATCCCTGAAACAACTAAAAAAGAAGAATTGAAAATGAATAGCTGAAAATAACAATTATATTAACCAAAATAAACCTGAAATGAAATAATAGTGAAATAAAATACAAGTAAAGATAGAACAATTGAATAAATTGAAATAAAGAAATGAAAAAAGAAAATAAAAAGTGGAGAGATTCCAAGTCACGTTAGTTCACGACGTTTCGATTGTTAGTATCTACAATCGTCTTCGGGTCATGACTGGACTGATTCCTTCGAGAGACGACTATTTTTAGGTCGTTCGAGTACTTTCACTTATCCCCGCTTTCCATTTTCCGCTTTACTGGTTCCGTGGGAGATGACCTTTTGGCGGGAATTGGCCATTTTTTCGCTTGATAAAGGGTTTCCATATGTTGCGTATTTTTACGATGGCTTGGCTGAATACGTTGTTGGACAACATGTATGTGGCTTCCTTGAATTTTCTCTTAAACCAATGTTCCTCTCTGTGCAAGATCTCAGCTTGGAAGGAAAGAAAGTATGACAAAAATTAAAGGAAAAATGATTTACGGGCGGGAAGAGGAAGGGGGAGAGTTTTTGAGGGTAAAAACCGGTTAACCGCGATATCCGGCAAAACTACAAGTCTTACCTTTTCATGTCTCAAATACACTATAATGTTTTTGGTTTATGATATTCATTTTTTCTCCTTATTTTGATTCATTATCAAAAAAGTGTCCTAATTTTCAGTCGAAAATTCTACGTCAAAACATTTTTTTTTAATCGGCATGCTTCTTGTTCGCTAAAATCTCTCCTTTTTGATGGTTTGAAAAAATACATTACTATTGCAAATCTCAAAGAATACAAAAAATAGAAAAGACTTGAATCCGATTTTTTTTCAATCATTATGTAAAATGTTGAGCTATTTTTGAAAATTACTTTAATTACTCCATGTTGTATCGATAAACAAAAAATATGTTATTCAAAATATACCACTATAATTAAAAACCAAAAAAGTCATGAAAGTTAATTCCTTGAAATACTTTTTACTGAAAAAATATTCAACAGTCACATTTTCAGATAAAATTCGTTTTGAACTCCGTCATTAATATTCAGAAAATAAACTATTGTCGCATGTTTTTTGCAATCTCTATGTTTTATGAATTCGATTTTCTTTATTAAAATGTAATTTGAATGTTCTACCTGTTTGGCCCATGTAAAACATCGAATATGGACTAAAAAAATTTGATATAATAAGCGTGCATAAAAACGTAGGTCACAAATGTAGGTGGAAGAAAAAACAATAATATCTTATGAATTTTATTAGATAGTGACAAATATAAATTTAGCAACATGTGCCATTTTTCAATGACAGATTTGCATGAAATTGTAGTTTGACTTAGTTTCTGCTTTGAAACTGTAATGCGAAAAAAAGAAGGAAATGATATCTTTGACCTAGTTTCAATGAAAGTTATTTGAAAAAGTTATTTTTTATGCAATTTTATGATAATAAACGTACCAAATTTTATTTGAAAATAAACACAGATTTTTAGTTAAATGTGAGTATTTGTGATGTCATTTGAATAAAAGTAAAATTACAAATATAAAAACTCAAGCATAAGTGTGACAAAAATAAGTTTTGTTGTTCAAAAAATAACAAATGTTGATATTTGATCTGATACATATAATTGAAAAAAATCAATGGTTTTCCGCTAGTTTGCCAGATCCCACTGTTGATAAATTCCAATAATAATGATAAAAATATTAATAATGATGATATAAAAATAATATCGTCAGAAAAGAGAAGAAAAAACGGATAAAATATCGAGATTTTTTCTTCAAACTCCGCAGACTCTATCCAGATCAGTCTGTCAAGATGGTTGTTCTGATTATTGGAGTCCTTGGTGGAATAGTGCCTTCTCTACTCTCGAATCTTAAAATCATACCGGCTTGCCGCAATAAGTCAGAAATCTTAGCCGGACAGATGCAGAAGACTGTCATTTTTAGCTCACTGCGCTTGCTCAGAGCACATGGGGGCTTCGGGGGATAAAGCGTGACTAGCGGNTGTAACTTTTTGTCTTATTATTTGTTTACCATTTAAAAATGTATTTCCGATAGCCTGTTTCATTCTAAACAAAAAATGTCTCTTGGGTTTTTTGCCCAAAATAAACCAGTTCGCAGCAAAAAATTATTTTACGAACAACTACACAGATACGATTTGTGACTAGGAAAAAAAGATGTAACCAAATACATATTTTCAAAATTATAAATTCGCTTGAAGATTTTCAAACATCGGCATTACAGTTATATTCGAATAATGAAATGATTCGTTTCCAGAATTTGAATTGTATTCATTAAATAATAAAAATCGCTAACAACACCACAAATGAAATCTAAACATTTTGACCTATTTTATTGCATTTCCGAGGCTTCGGACAAGCGAATTGAATTAAAACCGTCAGTTTTTCCGAACAACAAATTCATTCAGTCTGATCCCTCCAGAAAGCAAACGATTAGTTACACAAACCTTGCCTTGTGTAATTTCAAATAAATCCTTGAAACTTGAAGCTCTATTTCTGCTGATTTTCATTTGTAATCTCAGTGCTTTGACTTCGGAAATCTTTGACGGGCTATGCCGCCCTCTTCATGTTTTAGTTTCATACCTTGTAGTTTGTCTTTCCTCGAAATAAAACAAATTGAGATGAAGCAGAGCAATAGTGCTTAGCTTTCGGTTTTTTGTCGCCATGGATATCAAACTGTTTTCATCTCGCCAAGTTTCATCTGGGATTACCCGTCAATAAACAGACTAGCATACAGGGTGATTCTTCAATCAAATAGGTATCGCTTCAGATATGGGTGTACTCGCAATTTACTTTTCAAAAATTGTTATAAATGCTGCTTCAGTTCATTACAGTTTATTGCTTACGTTTTTTCCTATCATTTTGTGTAATTCTAGTAGGAATTTGTATCAAGATGGAGTAGTAGAAAGCCAAAAACTTTCTTCCCCAAAAAATTAATCACTCCTAAAAATATAACCCTTTCAATTCATATAATTTATTACATCAAACTGTGTAGATGCGCTAAAATATGATAACCGGCTGAGACATCTGCGCTCTGTTTCTTAAATATACGTTCAAAAAATAAGGTGCTGCTATAAAAAAATGGATCAAAGAATTTGCAGTTTTGTGTAAATTAAGGAATTCAAGTGCTCGAAAACACTTGAAATGTTGACAGTGGCATACGATGAACGTACTCTCAGTTATGAAAATGTTTATAAGTGGTACAAGCTTTTCATAGACGGTCGAGATGTGAATGACGACGCTCACTTTGGACGCTCTAGCACATTAACAACCGATGAAAATAATGAGAAAGTGAAGAAAATCGCTATGGACAATCGTCGATTTACTATTAGAGAAGTTGCTGAGGATGTCGGCGTATCGGTTGGCTCATGCCATGCAATTGTTTCGAAAATTTTGGACACCAAGCGTGTGGCAGCGAAGTTAGTTACAAAATTGGTGAATTTTGACCACCGTATTCACCAGACTTGGCCCCCTGAGACTATTTCCTGATCCCAAGATTGGAGAGTCCCATGAAAATACGGCGTTTTGCGACGATTGAGGAAATAAAAGCCGAACAGTTGAAACAGCTCAAGGACATACCAGAAAATGTATATCAGAACTGCTTGCACAAGTGTATTATATCTGAGGAGGGCTACTTTGAAGGGGACAAACTAGAAATAGATGAATAAATGAATATTTTTCAAGAATAATGAAAATTCACCCTATTTTTTAAAGAAACATCGTATTTATTATCTCTTATCAATTCTTTCGACATACATTTTTCAATTTTGCATTCGACATTTCAGTATTCTGCCAGAAAAGTCAGTTTGAATTAAATCAGGTGATCCGGTAGGCCAGTAGTTGCCAATAATTCTATATTACACAGTAAAAATCACTGATGATAGTGGTTTATCTATAAGTTTATTTATAACAATTCCCACATTTGCTTTTTGGAATTCAGACAGACACAGGACAACATTTTTCTATGTTTTCCTTGCCAATGCAGATATAAAATCGAACTTTGAGGTTAGAACAAAATATACCACTGATGATGTTTGCCGCAGAAGCAGACGAAACTTTTAGTACTTAAGGGTCCATTCGACCAGGACCAGGATTTTGATCTATCCAATCAAATTGTGAGTTTCTTAGAATGTCTAGCCCAGGAATTTTGGAATTTTCAACACATCATTTTTGTCAGTATTTTTTCTGGCACTCTGTCAGTGATTACAAAATCAATTAATGATAAATATGAAAACACTTCTAACCTAAATGTAACAAAATTATTGTGTCTACCTAGGAATAATACAGTTGCACGTAATGTATGCCAAGATATGCGATTTTTCAAACCCCCTCGAAAATATTGCTTCGTTCCAAACGGGCCGCAGAACATGTCGGCATATCCATTCCAACAGTGCTGTCGAATTTCGAAAAATCGATTTTATACCCCGACCTTGCTTCATCTGGAATCACCACAGACTCGAATCTCCTCCCCCACATAATCTCCCTCGGGAGGTAACTGGACCTGGCCTGGGTTTTCTGGTCGGTACTCTCGATGGTTGCCTCCAGCGTTACCACTATTTCGAATTTCTCCCTCATCAGATCGCTGGAGGACATATTATACAACGGAGAATTTCTGTCTATCTTGTGAACTAGCGACACTGGCCAGATGAAGAACAAATCTCCTCCGCAGTCGTCAACGCTGACCTTCAGCTTCGTCGAATAGTTGGAGAAGTACTCCCCCTCCCCGGTTCTCCTCTCCCTTATCAGCTGCGCCTTGACGCGGGGGGAGATCAACCTGCTCTTCTGCCTGACATCAGCGATGCGAATGACAAGACAGAGCACGTTGTCCCTCATGGATATCAGGGCGTGTTTGGAGAAGAGGATGGTCCTCGTCCTCAGCTTGGGTCTAGTCATCTTGGCGAAGACTATTCCTACCAAGAAGGCTTCGATTATCAAACCTACTATGTTCTGCAGGCACATCAGGAGTACGGCGTCGGGACATTTTTCCGTGGGCCTCTTTTCTCCATAACCTAAAAAGATGTTCAAGTAATAGCTCGTAGTGAAAATTCGGGTTTAGAAAGTTCAAGCAAAATACAAATCTATTGAAGACGCTTTTCTTCTCATCTCAGGAGACGACTCCTAATGATGCTAACTTGGTTAACGAAACGCGCGTTGAGAAAAGTGTTTTCAATATATTTATTTTAGACCAGAGGTTCCAAAATCTACTTATAAAGCAGAACACAATTTTCAGCAGGTTATGAACAAAACGTCTACAAAGGTGTTTGATGCAAATATGATTCTAGCAATGTATTTATGAAAATGAACGTTCCTTCAATAGATATTTAAATTTCATTTGAATAGATATTCAGATATTTTTTAAGGACCAAACACAAGTACTAAAGGAAAATCTTCAAGGCGCTCTAAGTGCAAAGTAGCGTTGGATTTGAATCGCTGGAGAGTAAAACTGTTCTTAGGAAGTTTATTCCACATTAACGCAGTTCTCCAAATGAAAGAATTTTCAAACACTGAGGTTCGAGGTGTACTGAGTTGAATCTCAAAACGATGATCAGCCACAAACCGTCGCGTATTTCTGATATGTACCACTCTTGGTGGAATCAAATGTGCCATGTCATAGAAAATTAATCCAACGCAAGAAAGGAGACATTCACATTTATGGAGCAAACCCTTCTGCAGAAGAAGCTGACGAGGGCACCGACGAGACTGTCTCATCCGGGGTTGATATCGTTTTGAACCATAGATTGTGTGAATCGTTCGCTTTTGGAGATAAGAAGTCTTATACTTCATATCTTGAAGACTACATGAAAAAACTGGTTGCCAAACTGGAAGAAACCGTTCCTGAACAAGTAGATGTATTTGAAACAAATATGAACAAAGATATGAAGAACACCTTAGGCATGTTTATGGAGCTGCAGTTTTCCACAGGCGAGTCTATGGAAATCAAAGGAATGGTCGGACTCATGGAATACAGGGAAATCAACGGCGATTTTGTTCCAGTCATAATGTTTTTCAAACATGGACTGGAAGAGGAGAAGTTTCAGTGATATTTTTAATAAGTTATCCACCCTTGTTATTTAATTTATACTCGTATTTGAATACAACGTGAATCGCTACTTTAGCACAGGCATCGTTCTTAGAACGCCTTGAGGATTTTCCTGTAGTGCTTGCAACGAAAACTGTAAGAGATACAAATCTGGTAAGATAAGGAAAAAGTTTCCCATTCTCGAGCTTACTCGAATGAAGTTTCGAATTAGAACTTTGAGTATCCGAGCTAGTAGCCGTAATCCAATGGAGAGATTAACTCCAAACATTTCGCCCATACCTACAATGGACAGCTTCAGCAGTGGTTGGCAGCAATGCGTTGCTACCTTCTCTGCTTTCCATTCGACCTCGTCCTACCAGCTCGGATTTTTTCTCTTGAAACATTTGCATTTGTACCCTACCTGTGGTATGTTGTGTTTCAACGGAAAAAAGGAAACAAGACGTGAAATCGTAGATATCTGTCACACACGGTGTCCAATTCGAAGCAGCCTGGTTCATTGGCAGGTGATTTTCCTCCAAATCTCCATGCATGAGAGCTATCAGCCACCAACCAATAGCAAACACGGCCCAAGACCCGAAAAAGCCCAAGGAGAATATGGTTATGGTCCATCTCCATTTCATGTCGACTAAAGTTAGGAATATGTCACGTAGGAAGAGTTTTTTCGATATCTTCAAAGGGTGGATGTTGCATTCCCCGTTTTTCAGAATGGCCCTGAGTCTAGGGTTTCCAGAAGTAAATGACCTAGGAAGTGAAAGATTCCCTTTAAGCACTGTACATAATAGATATTATATATTTATAACATTTTGGTTGGATACGTGTAGGTATCGAATAATAATGTGTTCCACAAAGATCCAAGCTGGGGCCGCTTCTTTTTCTATTTTTATAGAACCGTGAACAGTTGAATTTGCAACTATTTCATAGAATTATGTTTGTTGAATTATGTACACTGAGGTATTCAATTCATGTTGGTTATACACCTTAGACACTCCTTGGAAATGGTTTCCACCTGCTGTTTGCGTTGAATGATGAAATAATGACTATTATCATATTATAACTGTATTAATTACTTTTAATATGGATTTTCATCAAGTATCGGCCAATTATATTCAATTATTCATTGTTATCAAATTTATTGGGAAGATTTGTGTATTTTAAGCAACAACTAATCCTGCTTTCAGAAGACTGATATTTATGAAACTGAATGATGAAACATTTTCCAAAAATACACAGCTTCTTTATGATAGTAGTGCATCATTTTGTGAAATATTTCACTGGTCAAAAGTTGTTCTTTGTTTGAAATAGAATAGACAGATACAGTAAAGAACATGTTACTTCTTATAGATCTAGGTGTAAGTTAAATGAATAAACTTACTTTTCATTGGGCTTGCAGACAACTTCGTCATTCGAAGTTCCTTCGGTCTCTATTCTCAATTTTGAGTCGTTGGAATTATCGGATTCTGAACCTATCCTATTCCTTATATCAGTGTAACGATTCATACTTTCCGGTTTCATACTGAAACAGAAAAATGTTCTAGATGGATCAAATAAAAAATGGCCTGAAAAATTTGTAAGCTAACATAGAAAAAAATTTATAAAATTTGTACGATTTGTCTTTAGCCTCAAAAAAGGCCTCAGTTTCGGTGCTAAATTTCTTTCCAGCGAGCATTCTCTTGACAATAAAGTTGTTGGGGGCAGATCTGGAGAATACGGTGGATGCGGATGTAATTCGAAGCCCAATTCATGTAATTTTGTCATCGATTGTAACATGGTGCATTGTCTTAATGAAACAGCACTATCTCTTTCTTCGATGGATATTATACCATGTAACTCCCAAAATACTTGCCAGTCGACCGTTGCGCCTTTGCACGTTTTGGAGTCGATTCACCACGTGGAATCCACTCAGATGACGATCGTTTTGATTCTGGTGTGAAATGGTGAAGCCATGTTTCCTCCATTGTTGCATATCGCCGGTTGAACTCGGGTTTTTAATGATGGAACAGCTTCAAACACTGCTCAGAATTTTCAATTCGTTGTTGTTCTTGATTGGTTGTGAGCACGCGCGGCACCCATTTTGAACACAGCTTTCGCACACCCAAATATTCAGGCACGATTTATCCAGCACGTTCTTTTGATATTGTCAAATATGATAAATAATCATGAAATAATTTAAATGTATTTAAGCAAACACTTAAATACATCTCAACTTCAATATTCTACAACAAAAATACTGAGTATTCAGAATTCCATCTTTTAATATTCCAAGTTCAGAGACATCGAAATTGATATGATCACAGGATATAGAAATATAAAACAATCTCCAAATACGCAAACTTTGCACACATTGCATACTCAGCATTTTTATTATTATTTATTTATTTACAGTCGCATCGACCTCTAGGGTCATTAGCGACTTGTCGATATATTACATGTTCATGGAAAAAAACTTAGAGAGTATGTAACAAATTGGTATTTCTGAGGAAAGCTTATTATTAGTATCACATTCATCTTCTAATATGTCCTTTATTGATGGTGGGAAGCCACAATTTTGTCTTTTATTGTAATAGAACGCACTCGATAAGAATATTTTTGACACTGAAGACTGTCAGACACTTCACATACTGGGGGATTTTCTTCAGATAGTAGATATCCATGGGCGAGACGAGTGCGGCCTAGACGAAAACGAGATAAAATGACCTGGGCTTTTCTTTCATTGGGGTCGTTTTTCCAAGGAGATACTGACTGTTTTATCTCATGAAGTTTTGCTGGCGAACTATTCCATTGTGGTTGCCAACTGTTGATGATCGTTTGCTTGTATAGAGATTTCAGATCCGTATGAACAGCAAGTGACACTATATCAGTTAGCGGGTTAGTAATTGCTTCTTTCGCTAGTTTGTCAGCTCTTTCATTTCCAACTGTGCCAATCTGTGAAGGGACTCACATAAAATGGATGCAAATATGTTTTTGACGTAGTGAGTGGAAAGACTGTTTTATGAAGCAAGATGGGATGGGATGATTGGTGTATGTGTAATTGCTTCGAGAGTGTTCAGTGAATCTGTGACAATCAGGCATTTTGGGATGTTCTTTTTCTCCATGTACTTTATTGTTGTCCAAATAGCGTATAATTCACCTGTGAGTATTGTGTTTTCTTTCGATAATTTGAATGAACAGCTGAAATTAGAGCTGGTGAAAGCTGCCACTACTCCATCTTCCATTTTAGATGCATCAGTTACTTTAGTCGAGTGACTAAGGTTGCAATGTCAGCGTATAAATCTTCTTAAATATTGAGGAAGGTCAATCAACACTCGAAATTTGTTTTTATCCATTTCCTTCAAACTAACAAAAGTTGCTTCACGCAAAATGTTTTATCCCGCAAACTAATAGTCCGTGCACGGGTCTTTTGAAGGTTAGGGTTGATTAAAAGTCATATTTATTTTATACTAATAGCGCCATCTGTATGTTAGCCTACCTACTTTTCAGCCTATCTAGTATATAAACGAGAATCTCAAAACACCTTCAAAATATGCTCGCTATATATATTGAAACATTTCAATCTACATGTCCTGCATTTCTCAAAATAGATATGTTTTTTGAAGAACTTTCACTTTCATTCTAGTTATACCATCCTTATAATTCTGTTTTATATTCTCACTAATAGTTTGCATCTGTCTCTTCAGGTGACAGACGTAAATGCATGTAATGATTCATTAAGTAAGAAAACACACACACAAAATAACTGATTTTTGTCGAGTTGCTGCATTTTATGATGAGTAATATATTTATATATCAAAATTGTGTACCCTGATACCGAATTGATATTAATAATGTATGTGCTTACGCGTTCTTCGAGAATCCTACATGATACGACCCATTTTAACACCTCTCCTCCGTGGAACACCTCTGTCGCACTTTTTCTGTACTGAAATGCAGGCCTGCGTGCTCTCCAATAACAATTTTGCATTCCTTCATTATCTTGTTAACTCAATTCCGCCATTATAAGATGAAGAATGGCAGTTAAAGCTCGTGTTCATTCCAAATCGAGTGGGCGATGAGCGGCACTACATTTATATCCCACAATATACTTAAAATTTGTTTGGGAACAAAGGCGTCTTCCGTTTATCCAATCCTTGATCCAGATTACGACCAATTTGGAACTGGGACAATGCTTAATAGAACGATACTGACCGGCAGATTTATTTCCAAGCGATTTCTATATTCAACGTAATTGAATACTGCGAATGGGAGTTCCACAGTGTTCAGTTCTGAGGCCTGTCAATCAAATTCATTCGAGTGTAAATGAAACTCACATAAGGTTTTTTATCGTCACTGCATATTACAAAACAAAGTTCCCCCGACGCTTCTCTCTGTCTCTACACGATAAAATCCGATATTATCAAGCTGATTTTCATACGATTTTCACAAACACGCTGTCTGTTTATTCATTCATCGATTTCTATTTTTTCTCTTTCAAAGTAGTCCCATATACCCATGATTTGCCACCTTTCAACAATTCCTGGGCGATGCTGATGCAACGGGTTTTTTAAAGTCAAAATTCAGCAATTTTGGAACGAAATTTGCAGCCACACTCCATGCCCAAAATTTCCGAAAAAAAACAAATGGCATGAGCCAACCGATATGCCGACATCCCCAGCAACTTCTCTAATAGCCATTCGACGATTCAAATAACAATTTTCTTCACTTTCTCAACATTTTCAAATTCTCGACCTTCTGTGAAAAGCTTGTACCACTTGTAAACAATGTCAACATTTCAAATGTTTTTGAGCGCTTAATTTAATTTTTTACACAAACTTTAATGCAAATTCTTTATCCATTTTTAACTTAGATACAGCAATAACCTCTTCAGAAGTCGATAGGATCCAAATCTGGCGAAAACGGTGGATGTGGGGGCAATTCGAAGTTCAATTCATCTAGTTTTGCCATTGTTTTGATTGACTTGTGACACGGTGCGTCGTCTTGATGAAACATTGTTTTTTATTTGCCATATGCAGTCGTTTCTTTGCAATTCAGGCCTTCAAACGCTTCAATGACGCTATATTATATTCACTGTTGATGGTATTGCCCTTCTCAAGATAGTCGATGAATAAATATTATACCATGCACATCCCTAAAATACCGAGGTGATAAACTTTCCTGCCAATTATTGTGCTTTCTTGCGCTTTGGACCAAGTTCACCAGTTGCTCTCCATTCAGATGACGATCATTTTGATTCAGGAGTGAAGTGATTGTCGCATATCGACGCAAAAATTCCGGTTTGTCATGTTCAAACAGGACCAAATACTGCTCAAGAACCATCGAGAAGTTCTCGTTTTTGGTAGCCCGCGAAATTCAAACATTCACCCTATTTTTTGAACAAACCTCGTATTGAATAATATTATGCCAATATGCAAGTGATTCCTTGAATGTCGATGTTTTATTTTTTGGAATAGTTAATATATATCTATTTCGTGTTGCATAGTTATGAACAATTGATTCATCTCTTAGATTGGGTACATGAAACGTGGTCTATCACATTGATGGAATAATTTCCAACAAACGTAAAAAGGAAATTCTCGGAGACGCGTCTGATTTGTATCTTCCGTAATTGAAAGGTCGTTGATAAGTTGAACGGGTCGCAAGTCATAACGAGATAAAATATCGCATACCAGGTATTGTTGAAGTTCAGCTACATCCGCGGAGACTACAGTGTTTCGGCGAGTTTTCAACGAGATGGAACGAATTATTTTCATTATACTTTTAGCTTGGTGTATAGGGGGTTCTAGGCAGTCTGATAGTGACACTGTTGAATTAGTACATGTGGTAAGCATATAAATACTGATAAAGCCAAATACTTTGTCAAGAAACTACTAAAAAGCAGATCTGTATTCGGAATTTACTAGAAAAGGGCCTCTAGATATCTAAATAACGTTCAAAGAATATTTCCCCCAAAAATAATGACATACTCAATATACAATTTCAAAGAAAACATCTAAGCATTCAAAATTTCAGATAGGATTGCACCAGAGCATCATTTTTATCGACACGCGTCGTTGGCGTCATCAGGGGATGAACTATGATCAGTATGGTAGATTATGAAGTATACTCGGCATTCACAACTTCAAATTTTTTATGGGAACAGTACTGTGTTGGAAATATGTATGTGATGACAGTTTTCAAACTGTAGTAAATGTCAAAACACCATAATTTTTGCAATCGTACTACGGAGAGTTAACTGCACATTTCCATTAGGTAAATATAGCTAGTCAAAGTTGACAAATTAGTTCAAGTTGTCAAACCGACAAGTCTGATATTTGATCATGGGAAAAATCCGTAGGATTGATGACTTTCTAATTTGAATAATGAAAAAATATTTTCCAATTCAATTAGACTTTCCACAGAAATAATGTTGGTTACTCGAAATGAAAGTCTTCCTAATTGTAAAACTTCTATGAAAACGCCATCTATAGGATAAACAGAAGACCCAATCCAGAAGATAAACTGATGGCTGAGTTCCATTCAGCAATGATATCAACCCAGAATTCTCACAATTTGTGCTATCTATTTTGATTGTCATCTTGGTTTAGAAATGCATATTCACCTCTTCCCTTAACACCTATCGAATTGTCCGATGTTTCAGGGTTCATTATTTCAAATTCTTTATTGGTGCTAAGACACAAAAGAGTGTTTACAAATGTCATTTCAAGTTGTACATAAAACAATTACAAAAGTAATAAGTACAAAAGAACTTGGAAAAGAAGATAAAGTCGCAAATTAGAAGTCTGACAGTTAAAATTAGGTAAAAATTTGGTCAGTGGTGCTAGGCTAAACCACTCCTAAACGGTTACACAAATAGTTTTCATATTACATTAGCTTCAATTGATTTATTTGGAAATAAATCTTGAGTTTGTTATTAGATTTTCAGGCACGGCGCTAGAACACCAGCCGCCATTGACCTTTATCCCAATGATCCTTATAAATTGGATGCTTTTCTGCCTATGGGCTACGGAGAACTAACAAATGTAAGTAGCAAATTATACCTACAAAAACAGTCTGAAATTGAAGACACCTTTCAAAAATATTGGTTCGAAAAAAAAACACACCTGTCAACATGTTTTATTGTCAACTTTTCAATTTCACCTTATTTCTTTCTATCCAATGAAATGAATTCTTCCGTTATTTTTAACGCTATTTCAGGAGGGTAAAAAACAGGAATACAAACTAGGCAAGATGTTGAGAAAGAGGTACAATACCCTACTGGGTGAAATATTCTACACCGACATGATTCGTCCTCTCAGTACGGATTATTCCAGAACGAAAATGTCAGCTCAATTACTCTTAGCCGGACTATTTCCTCCTGCTCCTTCTCAAACGTGGGATGAGGATCTGCCTTGGTTACCTGTTCCTGTTGAGTACGAAAAGTACGATGAAGATTACGTAAGTTGAATCGGTAAATACCCTTGTTAGGTGTTCTTTTGTTAGGTGTTCTCAAATGATAATTGGTTTCATTTTAGCTCGTTTGTTACTTGAATATCTTTAGAGTCGATCTCAACAAATGGGAAGATGCCATTTATCTGAAGATAGTTTTTGAAATTCGATTCATCACTGATTTTTGTTGAACGTAATATTAGCTTTTGATATTTCATAATGTGCATACGCTCATGATGACCAAGAAGAGTTTCATAGTATTGTATCTCGATTGGCTACTTTGAAATGAAAATATCACTGAGTGGTGATATGATGATATTTACACTGAAATTAGGATAACCGCATAGGTGAACACTACCTCGATTTATATTTTTAACAATTTTTTTGTCCAGTTTTTTCAAATTCGAGTGAAACCGATGACCTTAATGTCTCCAACTTTCATGAACTTGGCAACATTGTAAAACCTATTGCTTGATCTTGATTTAATCTTCTTCTTCTTCTTGTATTCTTATTGTTTCGACTGTTCGTGCGACATTGCCAACTTGTTTAAGGTCGATTTGATGTTTAGTTCAATTGAAAAGCATTTCATATTACACAACGAAGATTTCATACTTGAAATTTTGGTTGAAGAGATTTGATTGAGTAGGACTCATTGAATAGGTATGTCCTATATTCATTCGTGCACTTTTTTCGGCTTTACTTACAAAAAGTATATCCATTTTCGAAACAACTTCGAATTTCCTTTGATGAATGAACTATTTTCTTATAGATCTAACAAATAATATTGGTTTCGTCATTTTTATTTGAAAAGTGTAAAGTTCTATTGGTTGATACCTCCTAAAAATCCATAACACATTTATTGTGAGTTTTTGTTTGAATACAAAACCTTTTGATTATTCATGGACAATAAAAAAGGCTTTCAGACCTCAAAAGTATCAACTTGTTCTTTTTCATTTTGTTTCTCTGGCCCAACTCACTTTTCTTTCATTCAACAGCTGTTGATAAGGCCAAACAAATACTGCACTAAATATGGTAGAGAATACAAAGACGTTCTTCAGTCCAACGACTCAATTTCGTTTCTGAAGCAACATCATGATTCTTTGGAATATATCAGCAAACATGCCGGCAAGGAATATAAAACGGTTGAAGATGTATTTGGAATCTTCCACACTTTAAACGCTGAGTACACAATGAATTTGACGTTGCCAGAATGGACGAAAAGAATTTTTCCTGGAATAGTAACAGAGTTTGCCATTAAAAGAGGCGAACTCGAGAATTTCACACCTTCTATGAGAAAACTCAACGGAGGTAAGATGTTCTTTTTATATCATTCTACTATATTGAGCTTCTTCAATCACCTTCAGCTGATGATAAAAAACTTGATAAATCCCTTGTCAGTGTGATTAGTACCTTTGGCCAAATAGCCTAGAGTGCCAAAGCCATCGACTGAAGTAAGAAGAAGTTATCAAATCTACTTCTTTTGCAGGGCGAGTTCTTCAGCAGGTTGTGAAAGACATGCCTTCACGACGAAAGATGTACCTCTATTCTGGGCATGACTATAATGTTGTCAATATACTAAAAGTACTTAACTTATTTGAGCCACATTTTCCAAACTACAGTTCGTCTGTAGTGATCGAATTACACCATTTTCCAGATAAAAATGACTACGCTGTCAAGGTAATGGATGTAAACATGGTGTTGGTCCAAATATTTAGGTATATAGATAATTTTATGAATTGATGTTGTAGATTCTTCATTCCAAATCAGCCAGGGAAGACTATGAAGAAAAACAGTTGAACGGATGCGAAGTAATGTGTCCCTTGGAGACATTCTTGAATATTACTCAGAAGTTAGTTCCTGCTAACTATACGATTGAATGTGAATCATCTTTTGCCCTAGATTGACGAAGAAAGTGCATATACTCCGGATGAATGAATTAAATGAATTAATTATTAGTTAATGTATTGCTTGTAGTGCTTTTGTTTGTATATTTTCTGTATCAAATCATCATCGAATTCGAATTAGGTAGTTATTAAGTGTAATTTATGATTTCTAAATAGTATGTTTTCTCTGATGATCAACTTCTTTTCCTATACTTTTCCAAAAAGTAATGGAATATGTATAACTAATAGCTGACGTGGCGAACTTCATACTGTTATGGAATTAATAAATGGTATGTCAATTAGCAGAGTTATATTCTCTGTTTCATAGTGTGTTTGTGACGCACGAAGTCGACTAGTAAGAGTACTTTGTCACCAAACTAACAAGACCTGTGTTGTCAGGTTATTCTCATGCTTAGTAGTAGATTTTATGTTATGAAAACAGTAGAAGATGTTACGAAAATAGTAGAAGATATATTTTATAGATACATATTATATTCATGGTAATTTCCACTATTTACGGTCATTCATTAATCATCTATCTATCTATAGAAAGTGAGCTGAGTCATCTTGCTCAAAACTTGAAGATGTTTTTCGGAAATATGCCTATTCCTTTAATCAAACATCAAAAGAATGGCATGTTCGATTGTCACATTCGATAGTCTGTGTGATACATATAAGATTGTCCAAAAATTCAGCTCGATTACATATTTCCTTCTTCAATCTCTCGTCTTTTGAATGACAACTAGAATGATTTCAGACTTTCATTAAGACATCCATTTTTGAAGGTTCATATTACTCAGCAACTTTACAGAGTAAATTTTTCATTTCGCTCTTTTTCAGACTTGAGAGCAGATTCTCTGTTTACCTATATTTGCCTTTGATGCAATAATCGCACACGCAATTTAAAGAAATTCAATTGACAATCAACACTGCCTGGATTCAGCCGATATGGACAGGCTGTTCATGAGAAAGTGCTCAATTTCAAAAAGGAAACCTGGAATTGACGGCTCTTTACGTCGGTGTCCAGGCCGGATGACAACGTATTTGACGTCAGTGCCATAAAATTACTTATTAATGGAAGAAATGTGAACAATTGAATGAAAAATGAAGAAGGAGCATAGTATTATGTAAAGCAAGATAATTGTGCCCTCCGAAAAAAGTTGCGCTGAAAGGAAGATGGGACCATCAGACAATGAAGCATGCAAGAAAATATTCCTTACAAATATATTCAAACATGACTCAACCTCCAACGGAAACAAGAAACTCTTTGAAAGGTTCGAAATAGATGAACATTTCAATCTAGCAGAACACTATTATAACATTCATGCAGACATTGTTTACTGTGGTTCTGGCGTTGAATTTGGTCATTATTACGCCTTGGTCAAAGACGAAACGGACTGGTTTAAGTTTGACGATGGTCGTGTTGCGAAGTGTTCTGGCGATGCATTGAATTTATTGGAGCCTCTGGAGACACCCTACATTTTGTTTTATAAGAGAGAGGACATTGGCAGATCAAGATCTTCAGATGATGTGGTGCTCAAGGTTTTTCCTGCAGCTAAAAAAGCAAATGCGCCACTGGAATCAACGAAGTCGCTCCGGAGCGCCAATCAATTTTTATTGTTGTTTTCATTTTATTTTCATCGTTGTTTTAATCACAGAATTGAAAATTATTAATGAATTTGAAATATTTATTTTATTCTGGTTGTTATTAGCCATGACATATACCAGGTATCAATGCAAAGTTGCTGTTTTCTTCAGACAATAGTTATTCTTACCCAAATCATAATATTCTGTGATTCTTACCCAAATCAAGATATTCTGTGATTCCATGCTATTTTTAATGGATAACAATTGGGTTTGAAAATTATGAAATTCAAATTGTGTATTTGGAAAACTATAACAAATGGCAAAATTTAGGCTACTTTGCTTTTTCAAAAGTAATGAAGAAGGTAATTAGTTTAGGATACTTTTTGCTATTAATTTAAAAACTCTCATCTTCTGTACAGAATGGACTTGTTAGAAACAAATCTTGATCATGACATGAAGGAATAAATTGGAAAGAAGGTGAAATCTCTCCCTGCCTGCTATTCACATTCATCAAATCGTAATCAAGTAAGTCAACATTCAATAACACCACCAAAAAAAAAATACATATATAACAAAAACCCTACGCGGGTAACAGATCAAAATCGTCAGAAACGTGAACCATCGGCACGTGTGTCTCATCGATCTTGGGAGTGGACTTGCGGTCGCAGAGGCTTAGCTCCTTCATCTTCCACTCCCAGTCCATTTTCTGCACGGCGTGCAGAGACTCTGCCTCGTTGTGGTGCCTCAGCAGCATGTGCTCCTTGATCTTCTCCCACTTGTCGTCAACATCCTGCAGCCAGCTCAAAAAGAGGCGACCTACGAGAAAGAACCGTTCAATACGCTACTACTTGCTTTCAAGTTAAGTGAACAGAAATGAGTGAACTCTAAATTAACCACGCTTTCCTTTTATGTCACGCCTGTTTTAAATTCACATTCGTTAGAAGAAAGACCAAAAATCTTCAAAACCTTCGCTTGAAACTGACCGTTATATCGCGACCGCGCATTCCTGTCCTTCTCCTCCTGTTCGGGTGTGATGAGATTGTACACCTCCTCGTCCCTCAGGATGGTGCAGACTGAAAAAGGCAGCGCCTGGTTCGCCAGGGCTCGAGCAGCCCTGCCGTGCACCCTCAGGATCTCCTGCTCAACGGACAGTACGAGCTTTTCCTTTTCTATGACGTGCTGCGTCCTCAGCCTGTACCTCTCCTTTTCCTGTTCGGTGAAGAGATCTTTGAGTTGCGTGGGCAGGCTTTGGGGGTGGGTTACGTTGGGGGTGGTGGGAGCGGTGCCGGCCAGGACGTACGTGCAGCGGTTCATCAGGTAATCTTTGAAACCTTGAGGCGGCTTCGGTTGAACGGGAAACAGTCCCCTGCGTCTTTTGGCAATCTGATGAAAGAATTATTTATTTTAAATTTTTTAAATACAATACAATGAATTTCACATTTCAAAAATCACCCAAAATCAACAGTAATCAGGTAGTCTCCAGTCATCCATACTAACTCATCATAAATCAACGAAATCAATAAATCGAATTGTACTTTACGTATCTACTCTACTTAGTGTAGCAACACTAGAACAGCAACCTCAGTGAACTTTTTTCTCTCTTTACTTCCATTCTGAAAATGTAATACTCCGCCTATCATTTTCATTCAAATTGATTTACATTTGGACCAAAATATTTGTATCTAATAAGTGAAAATAATAAATAACGTTAATTATTGTGTCAAAATTATTTTCCAGGTTTTTTCGACAATGGCCTGCCTGGCGTTTCGTCTACTACTGCGTCTACCCTAACGTTTCATCTACTACAGCGGTAGACACAGTAGTAGATGAAACATCAGATAGACTACCATAAAAAATTACGGCAGTAGTCTACTAGTGTGTCTACCGCAGCAGTATACAAAACGCCAGTAGGTAGACTACTACGGTAGACGCAGTAGTATACTACAGTAGCCTACTACTGCGTATACCGCAGTCGAAGACGAAACATCAGGAAGTAGACTACTGTAGTAGTCGCAGTAATAGACTACTGCGGTAGACACAGTAGAAGACGAAACTTAAGACAGACCACGGTCAAATAACGCGATAGTAGACCATTGCGGTAGATGCAGTAGTAGACTACTGCGGTAGGCGCAGTAGCAGACCACTGCGGTAGAAACAGTAGCAGATGAAACGTCAGACAATCCGCGGCAAAAAAACACGGCAGTAGCCTATTACTGCGTATACCGTAGTAGAAACAGTAGCAGACAATCCGCGGCAAAAAAAAAACAAGACAGTAGCCTACTACTGCGTATAGCTCAGTAGAAGACGAAACATCAGGAGGTAGACTACTGCGGTAGACACAGTAATAGACAATCCGCGGCAAAAAAACAAGACAGTAGCCTACTACTGCGTATACCTCAGTCGATGACAAAACATCAGCAGGTAGACTACTACGGTAGACACAGTAGCAGTCGAAACGTCAGACAATCCACGGCAAAAAACACGGCAGTATCCTATTACTGCGTATGCCGCAGTAGAAGAAAAAACATCAGGAGATTGACTACTGCGGTAGACGCAGTAGCAGACTACTGCGGTAGACGCAGTAGCAGACTACTGCAGTAGTGACACAGTAGTACACGAAACGTCAGGCATAAAAAACTGAAGACCACAACAAAAAAAAAAGCTTCGAAACAGTCATCTCCGGCCGTGAAAGTTTACTTTGATTATTATTATCTACTCAGCTCAACAATAAAGAACAAATTTCGTTATTGATCTCGACTCAGTACTCACCTGCTTTCTAATATTCAAATACAGCTGGTAGCAATTGGTGATGGGCTGTTCGTGCGGATGTACCTGTGCTTCGGCGGGCGTCTCCTGCGTCTCTACGGGCGGCACCGCTTGATCCTTATTCTGCTTCATCTTCCTTTTGCGGGGATGTAGCTCGACGGGAGCTGGTGCAGCTGCAGTGGTTGTCGAAGCTGTTGACGACGTGGACGCCTCCGTCTCGTTGCTCGTTTGAACCTTAGCCTAAAATATAATTACGGTTTAGTTTCGTCTAATAATAATATTTATTCGTATTAGCATACAGCAGCTATCTGTAGATGGATATACACACCGTGCTACGCTATACAGGCGTCACAATACTGTTTGAACAAGTTCCATGTCTTCCTTCTATAGTAAGTTGAATCATAATGACTATTGCTACCTGACAAATGCTAAATCAGTTACCTAAACTATTTACCTTTCTAGGAACAACTTATAGAATTGGAGAATAATGAATACAATTTTTACCTGTGTCATCATTTAACCTTGTTTTGATCACTGAGCAATATTCTGGAATTTTCATATCTATTGATTTCTAAATATTCCAAAATTTGAGTTTTGAACCTTCCTCTTCTAAATGCAATACGTCATAAATGTGCCCCTCTGGTTTGCAAATGTTGAATTGGTCTTCTCATTAAAAAAACTATTTTTTTATTCTTTTGGAAAAAGTTATTCCGGTTTGTCCAATATAAAATTTTGGATGACAACCACAAAAGTACATATCAGAACTGCTTATAGCAATGCTTTCGCTTCTCAACGAAGGTGATAAAAAATATAACTCCCCATATATCTGGGATTATAGCAGATATAATCAATTTTTTAGTTGAAAAGGCGTCATTTCTTTCTGACTTGAAGATAGGAATTGCAAGTTCAACTTTCAAGAAAGGTAATCAACTGTCTCGAAAATTTTCGCCCCATACCAGTACAGTGTGTAATATGTAAACTAATAAAAAATGTAAATATACGCAAATGCTTTCCTTTCTCTCAAAATATAATGTCATAACAGGACACCAAAATGGTTTTCTGCCAGGAAAATCAACGGAGAGTGCAACTATTATGATGTGGAGGCTAGTGTACCTCAAGGATCGATTCTTGGACCGCTAATTTTTCTACTATATGTTAATGATCAGCACAAAAAACCAAATTCTATATGCTGATGGTACCACTTTGGCAACTGAAGCAGGAACGTCTGAAGAGTTCATTGCAAAAATAAATATCTGAGAATAGTAGAATCTCAGTAAATGACCGTGAAGTCTTTTTTGCAAAATCCACCAAATTTCTAGGCGGGATGGAACAGCAATGCCAATCAAATTTGCAAGAAAGAACACGCTTTTAAAGAACATCGAACTAAAAAGTTAAAACATTATTTTTTTTAAATAAGCTTTAAACAATAACGATCGAAAAATACTAGTATTATTGTGAAAAAAGCGACGGGCGCCTGATATACAAAAATATGGCACAAAGCGTCCACGCTTTTAAAACTTTTTTCTGTACTGAATCACGAGTAACTGTAAATATTTAAATATTTCATTTGTAGAACAAAATTTCGCTAACACTTATAATTCTCAAAATATGTTTTTTATTTTGATTTTCTTTTGAAAACATCAAGGAGGTTACTTATAGCGGCATCTGCTCGCGAATAGCTCAGGCAAAAATCGATAGTTAAGTACAGCGCCATCCGCCCGCAAACAGTTCAAGCAAAAATCGATAGTTACGTACAGCGCCATCTGCCCGCGAATAGATCAAGCAATAATGCCGATAATTCTGTCAATACAGATCAGGAGCTTGAGAGTTACAAACAAACATACATACATACAAACATACAGGCGAAACCAATATAAAGCGTGTAAAAATGAACACTAACTTTATTATTTGAACAGACACCCTATTTTTGACGTGCATTAGTTCAAAATGTTGACCGTTTCAACTTGAAAATCAAATTCCCGATTCTGCTCTATCAATGTGTATATCAAAATGAAAATAATAATAATAGTACCTCTTCCGGAGCACCGCCAGTACCAGCATCTTTCTTCTCTTCGCCTTTTGTAGTCGAAGTCGTTTGTTCTGCGCTTGTGCTGGCCGCCTGCGAACAATCCTTGTCATTGTTCGAATCGGAACTGTTCGAGGTGGTGACGACATACGGCAGCGCAGGGTGTGCCCTCTGGGAATTACTCTTGCCGTTTCGCCCTGCACCCGTGTCTTGTTCGCTGCTGGTGGTTTGCGGGATGACTATTTTCAGAGGAGGTACCTACACAAACGAAGAATTTCATGATGTTATGTTTTAGACTCTGTATTTGTAGACTTACCTTTAAATCCGTTTTTCCATCCTCGACTTCGGCGTCTGAAATTGCGGGTTTGGGACTGGAACAAGGGCTCTTTTTGTCTCCGATGCCTTTGACTGAACTTAAAAGTCCCGATTTGTTTTGACCTGATGCCGACTGTTTGCTGTTTTGTCCTTTGTTCTGTCCTACAGTACAATATAAATTTCAACCAACTGACTTATAAATTATTTGATGACTGTGTATCAGGAAAAATGGATCAGGAGCTAAGCATTTATGAAATGGTCTCTCAGATTTAACCCTTTCAGATTTCTTTCACTGGGGCTTTCTGAAATCTCGTTTAGTTTATACAACAGAAAATTTTGCAAATAGATTGTGGGAGGTTAATGGGGAACATGTCAGTATTCATATAATTTGAAAATGATACAACCCAAAAATAGTTTTCTAAAAGTAGCATAAAAATCTGAATTATTTTCATAAAGCGAAGCCTTGGCTTCAACAGTATTTTTTTTTTCACAAAAAAGCAATGCACAAGAAACAGAACACACTACGCCTATGCAGATAAGGACGCTTGATAATGAAGAATCCGAATGACTAGTTATGGCATTTTAAGGACGCAAATATAATATACCTGCGAATTGTTGATCAGTTTACCGATGTTTCAAAGTATTTAACGAACTGGTTCACCTATTCGCTCGTACATCTTATCGATATGCAAAAGCTATCTTGTTACGGGGGCAAATTTTATGGAATCATCTTACTTTTCAATTACTCACAATGACGACGCATAGACAATAAAAATGACCCTGGTAAGAATTTAGTTCTAACATTTAACATTGTTGCTGTTAGCTCTCAGTTTAATTTGTATATAAGTTATCTTCAATTGAAAATTGTTATACTATAACAAAAGTTGTTTCACTCAAAACGTTCTATTCCACAAATTAATACTCCGACAGCTGTGAAATTTGTTCACGCGTCTTTCGAAGGTTAGTATTTACTAATAATCATATGGATTCAATACCAGTAGCGCCATCTGTGTATTAGCATACGAACTTTTCAGCGCGTCATAATAACATTCATGTTTTCACTTCTACATTTCATATCTGTGTCATGCCCAGTCTGACAAAACTCTACAAATGAAAACTCACCAGCATTCCTCAAAACGGCCGACTTGCCCTCTTTCGTATTATCCTCCTTACGTTTCTTCCGGCGTGTTTCATCATCGGCTCCGGCAGCACTACCGGGTGCGGCTCCGGTCTCCTCGAGCGGGTCGGTCGCCTCCGAGTATCCCCTCTTGACGGCGGTCGTCGGAACGGCGACGTCATCGTTAGAAGGCTGTGACGCAGACGCCGATAGACTGAGCGGATCGGAAACGTCCAAATCGCTCGCCGACGCGTCCGTCTGAATGCCGGCGCCGCCTTTGTGGTCGTCCGAAGAGGAATCGCCAGCGTCTTTCACGGATTTGAATTCGTATACATCATCGGTGGCCTAATTAGATAATTATTAAATTCAATTCTCCATCACAACTACAGAGCGTTTCAGAATGGATGCTGATCCTAAATCGAAGCTTTTAAGAAGAAAAGTTCAAACAAACCTATTTTCTCTTAATTTTTGTGCTACAAGGTGTTTAATCCTAAAAAAGTTGTTTTTTCATCACAACTTCAAGAACTTCTCTTACTGATCCTAATAGTAAAACGTTATGACTGCTCATTATGAATGCTAAACGCTAATAGAGTGCCCAAACAAAATTTTGTGGTTTCGTTATGATTTGCCACAGCTAGGATAGGAAGGTTTATAGTACTTTACCGGGCTCACTCTATTTTTGTATCACAAACAATAGTATATTATGCAACGATCATGTAATGATGGTTATTAAGACACGAGCATTAACCGGGATACGAAACGAGTCGAAGGCGAGTTTTGTATGGTATATGCGAGTGTATTAATAACCATTACATGAGAGTTGCATACGCTATTTTTTCTAAACCCGATAAATAATGAAAAACTATAAATATTATATTTGTATTGAACACATTTACAGTAATTAACTCATATTTNGATCCTGATAGAAGGCAAGAATTCTGTGAATTGATGATGGACAGAATGAACGCAGATTTGCAGTTCATAAACAAAATAGTGTTTTCTGATGAAGCGACGTTTCATTTAAACGGAACAGTTAACAGATAGAACTGTAGATATTGGAGCAGAGAAAATCCTCACTGGATGTGTGCGACTCACACTCAATATCCTAAAAAAGTTCACGTTTGGGCTGGTATCATTAACAATAACATTATTGGCCCTTATTTTTTTGAGGGCACTGTTAATGGTTTAGTGCCTACATTACAAATACATTTTCCTGATGTTAATCATCCAAATGAGATAGATCGAACTATTTACTACCAACTTGACGAAGCTCCACCGCATTTTGCACGTACAGTTAGAAATATTTAAACGAGGTTTTTCCCAACAGGTGGATTGGAAGACGTGGAACGATCGAATGGCCGACTAGACCCCCCGATTTGACACCTCTCGATTACTTCTTATGGGGTTACTTAAAATCTAAAGTATATTTTAATAGGCAAAACAATATTGCTGATCTAAAAGTTAGGATAACGGAAGAAATTAACAAAATAACCCCCGAGGTCATACAAAATGTTGTACGAGAATTCCAAAATCGCCTCGGTTATTGTCAAGAAGTTAATGGTGGTCATTTTGAACATTTAATTTAATTGTAAAGTACATTGAAAAATACATTTTAAATATTAAGTGGCATTATTATCTTCATTCTACGTAAAGTTTTGTGATACCTAGAGACATTATCAAAATTTCACATCCTAAAAATCAATTTTCTCAGTTATGATTGCACCAAACTTAAAAAACTTTATATTGCTGAACAGATGCCTAAAATCCCTTTCCAACAAGGTGCCACACGACCGACCCCCTTTGCTATTTAAAATTTTCTAAGGGGTGCTTATAATTCAGAAGGGGTGCTGGAGGGGGATAATATTTTCATACTGTAAATTGTCAATTTAAGAATAAAAATCGACCTGTTTCAGGTTTTTTGCACATAGTACATAATAACGCTAAAAATCAATTTAATACATACATATGTGCCGCACGGTATATCTATACATCACTGAGCTGAATAACTTTATTACCTGAATGTTGTTTACCTGTGACAATGTGGGTGCGCCAATCGGAAACCGGCGAGTAGACAAGGTCGATTTGGTTATTTAGTAGGTTACATCAGCAATGCTTATGCATTGGGGTGGAAGCACTAACTTGGAATGCATTTTCATTATGCAAAAACGAATAATAAAGAATATGCTTAACATGAACTTAACAGACTCCTGCCGCGGAATTTTTAAAAGTAATAAATTACTTACTTTATATGGGATCTATATTTATGTTTGTGTTATTTTCGTTTATGACAACAAAGAAAAATTCATTATTCATAAAAACATTCACGAGTACTATACTAGGAACAATTCGAACCTCGTTCTTCCTAAACATAGATTGAGAAATACAGAAAGAGGTCTACGCTATATGGCCATCAAACTATACAATCATTTACCACTGACAATCAGAGAAGAAGGTAGACAGCATACTTTCAAAATTCTAGTTTTACGATTTGTTGTGTAACACGGAACTGTATTCGATGCAAGAATTTTTTATGGCAACTTCATGACGATTGCAGAAAACAGAAGAAGGATAGATATTAGTATTGGCCATCAACATTTTTATAATCCTAACAAATATAGACATGATATATGCGAGTGTATATTTACATTTTCATTATATTTTGATATCTATATATTTTAGACTAATGCGTTGATGACACTTATCTTATTTTTTGTTCTCTTTTTTTTTTCGAAATTGAGTTATACTAAAATGTACTCCCACGAATGTATAAACCTGTGGTAATCTTTTGATATCTTTTGTTGTATTTTAGTTATATATTTATACCATACTGACTTAAGTTTTAATATGTTCAATTTAAAAACTTCAATAAAATCTATCTATCTATCTATGAGTTTCCAAGGATTCTAAATAATTGAGTTTCCAACCCTTGCTTGCATAATGCAAAATTCCCTTATCGTTTAAGTTCGGCAACTTGTGGTTACATTCCAAGGAATGGTTTGAAAATGTCAAATCATTTTTGCCTAGTCTGAAAGATCATTAATGTTTAACATAGCGTTTTGTGAAATTTCGGCCACATTGTCCCACACTCCGGACACTTAAGCTTATAATCTCCAGATTTATCCATCTTGTCCACTTTATCTTTTGGCATCAAACAGGAAATTAGGTAGCCTGGCACCTGGCCTGAATGCCATTTTCATATTGTTTGAAAAATCCTGCAATTGTCTCTGGTAAAAGAACACAAAATATGAAGTTACAAATTTTGGTAAAAGAACACAGACAATTTTGGTAAAAGGACAGAAACAATCGCGGGATTTTTCAGAAAAAACAATGTGGAAGTGGCCATTAATATTTAGTACCCCAATGATTGGTGCTAACTTTTTCCAAATTACATCAATCTGGATATAAAAAGAACTGAAAATTAGTGGACCTTCCAATTTTGTTGTGTCCTAACAAAGATTTTGAATTTGCTGTCTGACATAGCTTTTTATCAAAAAATAAATGATTTTTCTCAATTCAAAGTGGATTTGTGTATACTGAGCCAAATATCTATTTGTTTTAAAGCAGCTTCCATTTATCAGTATATTTATCAGTTATTATATTATTAATGGGGGCGACAGCTGATTGACGAAATACACTTCATTGAAATACACCGTTGTATTATCAACAAATAATACTAACAAGAAAGCTGAAATTTCGAAATGGATTTTATGTAAATGAGAAAGTGTAAAGGTCCCAATATAGATCCCTGCGGTACTCCGGAAACAATGTTCAATAATGAACTCCATAGACTTTCAGTCCGCGGTCTCGGAAATCTTTGACATCTTGTACAGGTACAATTTCTGTTATTTCGTCACCGCAGTAAACCAGTGTACTATTATTTTATACTAACCGTTAAAGACGAACTACTTTTGGCGTCCATCGCAGAGTCCTTCTGTTGTTTCGAACCACTAGAGGAAGGGGGGGTGGGGCAGTCGCCGATCGAAATTTTTTTGTCATCCCTCGACGCTCTAGCTTGCGGTCGGTTGATCGGCGTGTTTTCTGCAAAATTTAACGTTACTCAAATGCTTGAGGATTATTACAATTATTACTATATATAATATTTTGCGAAACTTCGGTAAATTAGTAAAACTGATTTTCTTTCAAACCAAATTGATTTCCAAATAAAAAAAAGTGATTCCTAAAAAGCTTCATCCTCTTCTCAGTGACTGACGATACTTCTGTTGCTGGAGAAACGCAGAATCAGCAAAACATTTACTTTTATGGCTCTCGCCAACAAACTAAACATGTCTTTTTGAACAAACCTCGTATCATACATGTAGATATCAGTCTTTACCAATTCCTGATGATGCTAACTTGGTAAAAGTGTTTACTTTAAAGTCAATTTAGTATTTTGAAAGTTTGCAATCGAGAAAAAATTATTTTGCAAATTTGCACTAGAATGAAAAATCTTCGGTCGGATTTAATTGTACTTTTCAGGGGTTGTTCTCCAAAACAAAATTAAATGGAGATTTGATTGACAAAACTCAGTCCGTTGTAATTGCAACAGAGGTCTGATATTTTTTCAAGTTTCAGTTCTGATTTATCTTTTTTTTGGTGCTTTGTACTTGGTTATGTTATAGTTAGTTTTTGAATTATTGTTTTTCCCTGCTGTAAACATTGTATGTTCTTGAGAAAGTTAATCATCATCATTATTATCATTACATAGGGAGTCTTGAATTATCTGCAATAATACAACAATCAAAAAATCAACAACATTCATGAGCCCGCTCATTACCTGAATCTCAAAATTGGAATATGCGAGTAAAAAATTAATGAAAACAATAATCTCCGTAGAGGTGAGATGATAATTTTTGAACTTTGGAATGCGATATCTCGATACCTGATTAAATCAAGATACAATTACAAAGAATATTGGACGGGTTTTGAAACGACGAGTTGTACAATCCTGTTTTAAAGCATCTTTCCCTTTTTGTATCTGATTCAGAGCGGAGGGGAGTTGTTGAGGGCACAAAACTTCAAAACTGATCGAAAGAAAAAGCACCCTCGTCGTTTCTAATCTCCGTTCCACCTAGTTGAGTCTCAGATATGTCATGTTCGCGAAGGAACGTCATTTGTATATTCGGTAGACCGGAAAAGTAACTCCTCCCAGCGAAATTAAAGCAATTTCTTAATATCTCCACACGGTTTAATTTTATTCTGAATCAAGACTAGATATGACTGGAGTAACTCGAACACTTCGCATCATCTTTCTGGAAATCGCTTATCGACAAATCCTGCGGCACTCATCTTTCAAGAGAGAAAAAAAGAAAAAACAAATAACAAAATACACTCATCGATCATAATAACACTCAAATGCAACATACCTCTGCGTCAAAAATCGTGTAGCAATGAATCTAACGCATAAAAATACCACTTTTGTGTCGGGACGATCGCAACAGCGAAATGGATGATAACCCAACAAAAGGCGGCCATGAAACGAAATGTCGAATCGTGGCCGCCTAGACTAGCCGAAATGTGGACATTATCTGACATACCTTTATGTAGATTCGATGCCCGACGCTGCATCTGGCCGCCTGCTTGATTGAAACACTTGCCGTGCCGTCGTCACTTCGAGCAGACTCGGACTGCTTGTTCGGAGACGAGAACAGAATGGGGCGGCGTTGCCAATGTTGGCACGCGTTATTTCTCCATTACGGTCGTGAATGAATGCGAAAGTTACAAGCAACAAGCGATAGTGACCACGGAATACAGGCACATGCTACAGAAAATTAGCATATCAAAGAAGTTCCTCCTTTAGACAGTTGCTTCTAACTCAACTTTAGTAACGTTTGATAGCTCTATCTCTGATCTGGTCTTTGATGCAGTGTCCCATTCATTATTATGAACGAGTTGGACTATTAATTTTAAATTTTACATTTTTTGTGTTCCTCCATAAAGTAGACATGAAAAATAACATGTTTTTTTTCGTCGTTTATCATTGTCAGTGCCACAGAATAAATACCTCAATACGTAAGATTCAAATCAATCACATCTTCAATTTCATTGGTTAGTTACCGGAAACGACATATTTATTTTCACGAAATCTCATCACTCATTTCTTATCTCTTGTGCTCTATCATTTGGTTCCGTGTTGGACCATTAAATACACGCAACGAATTTTTATTATCTCGTAAACTTAACCTGTTACTTGGTATCCCGTCACTGCCTTAATTAACGATATTCTGCTATAGAAAAAATTTATCAAATAATTTGCATTAACTTTTGTTAACAAAATGAAATTAAGTACTCAAAAACACTTGAAATGGTTAACAGTGGCATACTGCGGTGGTTGGGAAAGTGAAGAAAATTCTTATGGTTTTGTAAAAGAAAATGTCATCTCTTTACTATCTCAGAGTTGCTGTGTAAGAACAACTGAGTCCAGTTGTACTTACTGTTGCTGAGTTCGTGGCTCAGCCACGAGCTGGCCCTATGCCTCAGTCACATTGTCTGCAGCTAAGGTCTCCAATATTTGTTCAGAGGTCGTAATCACCTTCAAAGATGAAAACCAAGCTGTGTGTATGGTTATACCTAATGCCAATCCGTTGTTAAGACCTACAGTCGTAGGTTCACATGAGAGGTCAGGGTATGGTTTTTTCACCTAAACTTGAGCATGTTATATGCACCTCTCCGGACGATTTTAAATTATCATTCTGACTCCCACCCTGGAGTATGTATTTGTCGAGTTGTTTCCGGACTTGGTCAGGAGATGGCGCAGTGGACATCCTACTGAATCAACTACAGATAGCTTATGACTAGTTGGACTTAATTTTGTTTGTTCGGGATACTCAGTTGGTTCACGCCGTCTGAAATGACCTTCCCAGTATTGACGAGGAATAAGTACTCCGAAACCGGTCTATTGGTGGTCGTACCTACCAAATGAAAATCAAATTAATTTCTGCTTTCCATATATATGAAGTTACTTGCGAATGATGGTTTTACTTCAGCTTTCTGCGCGGCATTAGCTGGGTTAGTTGTTGTTTTTCCGTCGGGTATCTGCCACACGTAACTACAGAATCGTAGGTTCACATGAAAGGCAAGGATATGGTGTACTTATGGACAAGGTACGATTAGCTGTTTTTCCAGTTTTCAATCCGTGTTCGAGATAATAACGTCTTCCAAGATCACACAGAAACAGCATAAAACCCGAGATACACGAGTCATAACAACCATATTATCATATATTGAAGAAACGACAGACAAAATCAGCAGAATTTTCTGCCAACACAATATAGCAACATTATTAGTACCAGAACGTACAATAAGGTTCATGCTCCGTAATCCAAAGGATCAGATACCACTAGAGTCCCAAGTAGTTTACGAAGTACCATGTTAAGACTGACAAGACTCACATCGGTCAGACCAACAAGCGAATCAACATACGCAAAGTAGAACACAAATTTGCAGTGAAAGAAAAAATCACCACGTCTTCTCCCTTCCAACACCCAACATCAATTTCAACAACACAAAAACACTAGCAAGCAACGAAAACTTCTATTCTCGAACAATCAGAGGCGTTACCGAAATTGAAAAAAGACAGTAGTATGAATAAGAGAGATGACACGCAAAGATTGCTAGCAAGATGGAGATCCGTCTCATCACTTCACAAAAGCAAACACAACCCTAGAAGCAAAACTTAGCACATGATAATTCAGGTATAATAACAAAGGTAGGCGAGACAGCACAGGTAATCGGGTCAAAACAGGCAGTTGAGCAAACACAGGTAGTGGCAGTAACCCAGGTCAATGGTACCCTCCATCCTTATGAACTGAGACACAGAAATCGAATAAATCAGTCTACTTCTAAACTACAGACATCACCACCAGATAATTGCAAATCTCACAGAAAGAACACCCAGCACGGAACAGGAACCATAAACATTTTGAGAATTTTGAGTTGATTTTCGAAATATAAAAATTTCGAAGAGTGATTAGTGACCTTGAACATGGTAAAATTAAGCTAGTTTTTGAAATTATTGGCCTAACAACTTGCCAAGATGACATCATAATAATTCCTCATGTAAATCTGATGAGTCGAAAATAATTTGAATTCTCTGCTAAAAATGATATCAATAATAATAATTTCATCAGTCTCAAGAAACACACAGTTTTTAGACACGTCAATACAATTTCTAAAATAGGTTTGAGAGTATAAGATTCGTCAATAGGTATAGTTTCTAAAAAATGCTTGTAGATAAATTAGATTTACAAAAAAATACAAGTTAACAAGATAAAATTCCCATCTTATAAAAATTGACCAAAATGTAAAGCCATGAGCTTTTACAAATTATAAATCACATAGCTAACATATTATATATATTCAAAGTTGAGTAAAAGTTCGGGAGGTGACCACAAAAGTGTCTCTTAACTTCGAAAAATTTATCAATTATTTATAAAGTATGTTTGCTAATATTTTCTTCAATAAGTTTTTGAATCTTCTAAATGGCAAGTTACGAAATTCGACAAATAACGCTTAATTTCTATATTATCTGTTTTTTTCAACCTATTAGCTGTAGGAACAAGGTTTGATTTATTTCTTGTATCATGTTGATGTATATCCTTGTAAGCAACCTTATTCATCAAGTTTTGTTAGACGATAACTGAGTAAAGGGTCATTATTTTAAGTTTTACAAATATTGGTCGATACTTCATCATAATAGGCAGAGATTATGCTTCTTACTGCAGATTTTTGAATGACAAATATTCTATTAGGATGTACCTTTGATGCATTATTTCAATTGATCATACCATGCCTAAGGACTGAATGAAAAAGTGTATGATATGTTGCGAGTGTCGAACTTTGATTTACTATTTTTTCAATTCTTCTGATAGTAAAAACTGTCTTACTATGTTTACTACACATGCTATTTATATGGTCTATCCATTTCAGGTTGGAATCTATTTGTACTCCCAAAAATTTGATAGAATTTTTGTTGTATCCATTTAAGCAAATTGTTTCAAAAGTTGAAGTTTCTGTTTTTTGTTCATTGAGAATCAAGTCATTTGGTGTGACCTATGATCGAGATTGCTCTAATATGTCAGTATGGATCATCTGAGGATCATCTATTTTACATATTATTTGCCCAAGGTTGCATCACCTACATACAATATAGTTTCTATGTCTGACGAGTTCATCACGTGAGGCAGGTCGTTTATATAGATTAGAAACAAACACAGAATATAGGCCACAGAAACTTGACCCCTCAAAATCAGTGCTACCTTCTGTCATAGTACTCACCAGGTAGAGGCAAATTGGTGTTGAGAAGATAAGGCTTGATAACCGGCGGGGCTACATCCAGGGGAGTTTTTCCTTTGGAGTTTTTAGCATGGATGTCTGCACCACGTTCAACTAGAAGCTTAACGAGTCTGAAGTGACCGTTTATCACAGCATCGTGAAGGGGCGAATCATTATCTAGTCCTCTTGCATTCACGTTGGCGCCTGACTGTACCAATCTCAGGGCTACCTCGTACCAACCGTGGTTGCAAGCTTCGTGCAAAGGAGTCCAACCTTGAATAGAAGACTAGCGTTTTACATTCCTGATTCAACACATGAGATGGTGAGTGCACTTAGTTTCTGAATTACAGCACTTAAATGGTGCTAATATTAAAATTGAAAGGTCTATCAACTAACACGGTCAATTATTTATTATATTTTATCCCCCAAAATAGTCATTGTGGACCTAGTTACCCACATCACCTACAGTTAATGAGAAATTAGTCAATAGAATTACCAGCGAAATCAGCAGCATTCGGATCGGCACGATGTGCCAACAATTTACAGACTTGCTCTACATCCCCCTTAATAGCTGCTAAATGCAATGGAGTTTCACCTCTTTCGTTGCGCTCTCTGGACCGCGAAGTGCTCGAACTGGGGCTCCTCGAACCTGCTTCGTTGATGCCGCTGGAAGAAGTCATCTGCATCAGTAACGCCATTTGTTGCCTCTCGGACATGGGGGTCACCGCAGCGCTCCTGCTTCCGCTGCCGGAGCCCTTAGGCCGCACTGGTGCCGGCATCTTTTGTTCATCAAAGTCCCTTCTCGACCTGAAAAGCCCGACTTTCAGATAGTTGTTTACATAACCTAGTTGGATGGTATTTTGATTCCTAGTTTGGAGTCATTTACATTACCTTGTTGGAAATGAATAAGTAGTTGAAAGTATGCCAAATGATTATGCTGAAGTCGGTACGAGTGGATGAAAATTGAACAAAAACACTGATATTTCAATTCTAGTTAGGACTTTTTGCCAAGCGTTAAAAAGCTATCACCATGACACCACAGCAACATCGGTGTTGCCAGTGGCGTCTAGGAACAGCCTTTGACTTACGGCGGGCGAGCTGATTGAAGTACAGTGATTGTGTCTAGAACAAAAGAGCAGAAAAAGATGCACTGAACCGCTTTTTGAATCGCTTTAATTTTATGCAACAGCTGGATTTAGTTATTACCGTTTACCTCTTTCGATACTTTAACCGCTGAATAACTTTAGAAAATAACATTTCGCAGTATTTATTAAAATAACGGTAAGTTACTCGTTGTATTCGCACTGAATTTTCAATATTCAAATTGGAGTGGACAATAAATATAATGAATTTTCATCTGTCGCAAACTCAATGGTCTATGCTACATACTTGATAAGTAGAATTTGGAACCTCTGACGGGGAATTAATCTAATAAAAACACTTTTTCCCCTATCAGAACGAAAATGCTGTTTTTTGACACGCATTTCGTTAACCAAGTTAGGGATGACTTAGTCATCAACTGATGATGCTAAGTTGGTTACAAAACTCACGTCAATAGACAAAATTTTAGTTATGGAGACGAAAAAGTGTTTTCGATAGATCCATACTACATAGTAAAAAACGTTTGTTGAACTTCCACTATTTTTGGAATGATGGAGCGCTTTTCATGACGAATAATTTTCTAAATGGACGTGCATAATGGAAGGTGCGAACCAAATGTTCTGATGAAGTGCATCAGCATATTCTGAATAGACCATATCGAATACAGGTTTCATTTAGAGAACATGAAATTTTTCATATTGGCTACTCTTTATATGTGTCATCAATGTCAACTGTCATCTGTAATTGATTATCTAAGAAACTTTATTGTGAGATTTTTAATAGAAAGTTCTACAAAAACGCATTACCTGTTTCGCTATATAATAGCTCCAGGCGTGTTGCGTTTTTCTTGAACTGTTTAGTGAAAATATCACAAACAACCCATTAAAAATTTGAAGTTGAATTTGAATAAATGAACTCGCCCATTATCAAAACTGTCAATAAGCTTTCCAGATCAAGATGAGATAGCTGACTTTAGAAAATGATTTTTTGAGCGGTAATTTTCAAGTGAATAAAAAAGTGGATGACAACTTATATTTTATATTTAATGAGAACATATTATATGTATATTGAATGTATATTCTCAGAAAATAATGTTGACAAAAATACTTCAAATGTGAAGCTCTGAAAAAAATAAACACAAAATGAATCATTTGGCATTCCTTAACAAGAACTTCAGATTTTGCCTCATAAATCTTCGGTTTTGCTACAAAATTCACTGAATGCTGGACATTCTGAACAAAAATCGTTGGGGGTTAAAATATTATCGTTTATATTGGTAAAGGAAATGACAGCAGAGTAACCATGCATATGTCTATAATTTCCTCTTTATTTTCATGCTGAATTTCAAATTCCGATTACATATTTTCTGCGAAATTCAAATTAAAATTGACGACAGTTTTGGCCTTGAAAATGATTAAGATTTATTCTACAATGAGTTGATACAGATTATTGTTAAGCAATGATATTTTATCATTTATTACTTTATTGGTTTCATGTCTGTTAATTTACTGTAATATTCACAGACAGTGCAGTGGCTTATTTTTAATTGCTTATTGTGCAATGTTTAAAGAATGTTGACAATAAAGTTTGAACCGGTTAATTATTAGACGATTGTGATGTATCATTTTCAACTAAAACATTCTTTTAAATCAATTTTTTCAAGGCAACACTCTATAGTTAACCTAACTTTTTATATGGTTAGTTTAAGTTTAATCTAGTCTATTTTTGAAAGTTGAATTTAATCAGTAGTAGAAAGTTTATTTGCTATAATATTTTCAGAAATATGTGGTGGTTTTAGAAGTAATGACATTTTTTGGTGTGATTTCAGGTCATGAGCAGTATTCCGAAATATAAAATTTGGTCACCATTCAAAGAACTGATGGATGAAATCAAAGAGGAAAGCTATGGTATCCTCATTCTCAATAGTCCCATCAACTTCAACTTTGATCCTGAGTTTGTTTTGCGCTTGTGGAATCAAGGTACTTTTATCCTATGCTATAACAAGAGGCAAGAGGAAGATCAAAGTTTGATCTTCCTTTTGAAGATGAGCACTTGGTGATCGAAACACGTGTTGAGGTGTTAAAATAACGGTTTGGTGTTGGAAAAAAAAACCAGTAATATTCATTACTACACCAAAGGTTCCAAACAGTGCATCACAAGTAGATCGTGCTCTGTTAGAACGTTGAGAGAGATGAATGTTTTGATAATTCATTTTTAATGTAAATACATAGTGTTATTATTGATAAGTAATACAAATTGTCAAAAAGGTACCAAATTTCACAACTAGTTTATTAGTAGTTATTAAAAATAGTTCAAGTGTTGAAGTTGTGAAATGTGCAACCTCTTCGACTCAGTAAGTAAATAAGGAAGAAAAATGTTGTTTCCTGGTAAGTCGAATATGAATATTTTTTGACAATTTTCTCAACGTTTTTTAAAGGTGTTTGAATCGAAATTGTCTTTGGTATGAATTAAAGAAACACTATATTCTGAAATTTTTACTAAACAGTTTCATTAAAACGCAACACATGCTTTGCTATACAATTTCTTCTTCAGGCGTGTGGCTAAATCGTTTTATTCCTCTGAGATATCAATATCAAATTCTTCCAAGTCTTAATACTATTTGACATAACTATTTTTTCAGCTAGAGTGAAGATTACAGTGGACGGAGGTACTGAAAAATGGATTCAATGGCTGGCATCCTATAAATTTGACTCAGATAAAGTTCCTCTGCCAGATTTGATCACGGGCGATATGGACTCCGTTCCCAAAGATGTTCTGAATAAGTTTCGAGGTACTTCGACGGAGATTATCATAACACCTAACCAGGATGAGACTGACTATGTGAAAGCACTGAGAGAGATGAGGAAATACTGCACAAGACAGAATGTTAACGTAAAAATTAATGTTGGGCGTTTCAAAACTGATCTTTATGTTTCTAATCGATTGCAGGTGGAGACCGTGTATGTAATTGCAGACACCTGTGGACGTTTTGATCAAATAATAGCTAATATCAACGCTTTATACAAGAGTCGAAATATTTTGGAAAAAGTGAAACTTTTCCAGCTAGCTTCCACATCTCTGACTTGGCTCTTGTGCGAAGGGCACCACGAAATAAATATCCCCTTGAGTTTGCGAAGCAATAGGGAATGGTGTTCTCTCATACCTATAGGATTTCCTTGCAATGTGACTACCACCGGGTTACAGTGGAACTTAGGTAAGCACGAAAAATGTGTAAGTACCAAGTAGTCTTAGAAAAGTAAGTTGGTGAATGAGGGTTGTCAACATTTTTTGATGTTAATGTATGAGTAACTTTTCAAATCAGAGTTTGTCAATTCCTAAACGGAGACAAATTTTGGTTTCAGAAACGTAAAGTACCTGTACAATTCATAAGCACTTGTTAAATACTTTTTTTGCTAGATCTTTTTTTATAGCTTTTTTTGATAGCCCTTTTTTTCATACCTTATTTGATAGAAGCTAAAACTGGAATCTCTGGTGCAGAATAAATCCAAAACATGCACTTCCCCATCACCAGAAATGCGTGTCTGGAAGAGTATTGCATTTTTGGTGATTGAGAAAAGTACTTGCGTTGTACTTTTTCTGATAGTAGCTGTTTTTGATAGCCTCTCTTTCTGATAGCATTTTGTTAGCCCTCTTTTTGATTAAACTTTTTTGAAAGCCCTTTTTTTAATACTTCTTTTTATTTCTTTCACGGATTTCGAATCATTTTATATAATATCAGACAATGGAAGTCCGAACTAAGGAAATTCATCATGAAACATTGTCGATCACCTTCAAACTCACGTTGTTCGGGCTTTGATTTTCAACTTGTTGCCTTGCATTGAAAGTTGTCGATCACATAAATGGTTTGAATTGAAGGGGTTATGTAACACATAAATGGTGTTTTCGTTAGTGGAAATGCACTGTCTAGTGTTGAATCATAAATTAATTGTGTTTGAGGTCTGTTTTCCAACAAGTACTGTTCAAAAACTATTTTTATGTAGCATACATGAATATTTTTGTGTTTTTCTGGCAAACACGGATATTGGGAAGACTGTTCATAGTAAGCTTTAAAATAAAGGAAAATAATCGTAGATTTCAGTATCAAGAAGGTATTCGAATAATAATTTGCCTCGTCGTGATAGTCTGTCAGCCTTTTGGAGTTGATTATTCTTTACAATGAAAGTCAGACCCTGGTAGCAGGGGATATAGTCTGTGCTTGCCCCGTCGCAGACTGGATCAGGTTTTCTGCGTTTGGCCAAGTCCCACTCTTGCCAGCTGATGTTAATGTCACTCACCAAATAAAGTAATCAACTTCGTGAAGAAGCCGGATTCATTTGGTCGAGTATGAATGAATCCTTAGCGGGTTGTAGAGGAGGGGCCAAATTTAATCACTTACTTTATACTTACTCACCTACAATGTAGGTTAGTGTAATTAAAATAAAAACCGGCTTTCAATCTTAAAACTACTATATTCTATGAAAGAACATATAATACTAACAATAAAGCTGAAATTTCGAAATGGATTTTATGTAAATGAGAAAGGGTAAAGGTCCCAATATAGATCCCTGCGGTACTCCGGAAACAATGTTCATTAATGAACTCCATAGACTTTCAGTCTGCGGTCTCGGTAATCTTTGACATTTCTATTCGTCCCAGAATTGTTCAGAGTGAAAAATTTTCATTTGAAAATCTTGTACAGGTACAATTTCTGTTATTTCGTCACCGCACTAAACCAGTGTACTATTATTTTATACTAACCGTTAAAGACGAACTACTTTTGGCGTCCATCGCAGAGTCCTTCTGTTGTTTTGAACCACTAGAGGAAGGGGGGGTGGGGCAGTCGCCGATCGAAATTTTTTTGTCATCCCTCGACGCTCTAGCTTGCGGTCGGTTGATCGGCGTGTTTTCTGCAAAATTTAACGTTACTCAAATGCTTGAGGATTATTACAATTANAGGCGGCCATGAAACGAAATGTCGAATCGTGGCCGCCTAGACTAGCCGAAATGTGGACATTATCTGACATACCTTTATGTAGATTCGATGCCCGACGCTGCATCTGGCCGCCTGCTTGATTGAAACACTTGCCGTGCCGTCGTCACTTCGAGCAGACTCGGACTGCTTGTTCGGAGACGAGAACAGAATGGGGCGGCGTTGCCAATGTTGGCACGCGTTATTTCTCCATTACGGTCGTGAATGAATGCGAAAGTTACAAGCAACAAGCGATAGTGACCACGGAATACAGGCACATGCTACAGAAAATTAGCATATCAAAGAAGTTCCTCCTTTAGACAGTTGCTTCTAACTCAACTTTAGTAACGTTTGATAGCTCTATCTCTGATCTGGTCTTTGATGCAGTGTCCCATTCATTATTATGAACGAGTTGGACTATTAATTTTAAATTTTACATTTTTTGTGTTCCTTCATAACGTAGACATGAATTATAACACGTTTTTTCGTTGTTTATCATTGTCAGTGCCACAGAATAAATACCTCATTACGAAAGATTCAAATCAATCACATCTTCAATTTCATTGGTTAGTTACCGGAAACAACATATTCATTTTTCCGAAATCTCATTACTCATTTCTTATCTCTTGTGCTCTATCATTTGGTTCCGTGTTGGACCATTAAATACACGCAACGAATTTTTATTATCTCGTAAACTTAACCTGTTACTTGGTATCCCGTCACTGCCTTAATTAACGATATTCTGCTATAGAAAAAATTTATCAAATAATTTGCATTAACTTTTGTTAACAAAATGAAATTAAGTACTCAAAAACACTTGAAATGGTTAACAGTGGCATACTGCGGTGGTTGGGAAAGTGAAGAAAATTCTTATGGTTTTGTAAAAGAAAATGTCATCTCTTTACTATCTCAGAGTTGCTGTGTAAGAACAACTGAGTCCAGTTGTACTTACTGTTGCTGAGTTCGTGGCTCAGCCACGAGCTGGCCCTATGCCTCAGTCACATTGTCTGCAGCTAAGGTCTCCAATATTTGTTCAGAGGTCGTAATCACCTTCAAAGATGAAAACCAAGCTGTGTGTATGGTTATACCTAATGCCAATCCGTTGTTAAGACCTACAGTAGTAGGTTCACATGAGAGGTCCTCCTATGGTTTTTTCACCTAAACTTGAGCATGTTATATGCACCTCTCCGGAAGATTTTAAATTATCATTCTGACTCCCACCCTGGAGTATGATGGTTTTACTTCAGGTTTCTGCGAGGCATTAGCTGGGTTAGTTGTTGTTTTTCCGTCGGGCATCTTCCACACGTAACTACAGAATCGTAGGTTCACATGAAAGGCAAGGAGATGGTGTACTTATGGACAAGGTACGATTAGCTGTTTTTCCAGTTTTCAATCCGTGTTCGAGATAAAAGCGTCTTCCAAGATCACACAGAAACAGCATAAAACCCGAGATACACGAGTCATAACAACCACATTATCATATATTGAAGAAACGACAGGCAAAAGCAGCAGAATTCTCTGCCAACACAATATAACAACATCATTCGTACTAGAACGTACAATAAGATTCATGCTCCGTAATCCAAAGGATCAGATATCACTAGAGTCCCAAGGAATTTACGAAGTACCATGACAAGACTCACATCGGTCAGACCAACAAGCGAATCAACATACGCAAAGTAGAACACAAATTTGCAGTGAAAGAAAAAATCACCACGTCTTCTCCCTTCCAACACCCAACATCAATTTCAACAACACAAAAACACTAGCAAGCAACGAAAACTTCTATTCTCGAACAATCAGAGGCGTTACCGAAATTGAAAAAAGACATAGTAGTATGAATAAGAGAGATGACACGCAAAGATTGCTAGCAAGATGGAGATCCGTCTCATCACTTCACAAAAGCAAACACAACCCTAGAAGCAAAACTTAGCACATGATAATTCAGGTATAATAACAAAGGTAGGCGAGACAGCACAGGTAATCGGGTCAAAACAGGCAGTTGAGCAAACACAGGTAGTGGCAGTAACCCAGGTCAATGGTACCCTCCATCCTTATGAACTGAGACACAGAAATCGAATAAATCAGTCTACTTCTAAACTACAGACATCACCACCAGATAATTGCAAATGAGACTTTGCCGAAACGTTGTGAAAATAATCCTCATGAGGATCAAAAACACAAAACACTGAGCAAAAAAANGCTAACAAATGGGTTGTTGAATGAGTGAACAAGTGGGGAAGTTACAAGCGAATGATGAAGTGGGCAAGCCGCGCCCGCTGTAAGAAAAATCTGTTTAACGGGAGAAGATTTTTTTAGGAAACTGAATTCAAATTTATTTTTATTTTTACCACACAATAAATTGCCGGGATCACAAAATAGCGAATAATGAACAAGTGAGCAAGTGAACAGGCTAAAAAACTATCGATAAAGGAATCAGTAAGCGAGCAATCAAGTGGCATATGAACAATTAAAAAAATAATAGATGAACTCTTCAAAAAACAATCGAAACAGTTAGGGATTAGTAAAAGGAGTGCAAGCGAGCAGGTAAATCAAGGAACAAGTGATATATTATTCAGTTACTTTATTAGCGTTAACAGGAGACTATAGAGGGTGGTCCCAGAAGTACAGCCCAATGAAGAAAACACAAACATTTTGGAAAAAAGATATATTTATTTTTCAAATAATCTTCTTGCAGCTATCAAAAAGTTTGATCTTCCTCTTGAAGATGATCACTTGGTGATCGAAACACGTGTCGATGTGTTTATATAACGGTTTGGTGTTGGGAAAAAACTCCATTACTACATTACTACACTACACAACTTCATTACTACACCAAAGGTTTTAAACAGTGCATCACAAGTACAATATTTTTACTGTTGTAAACGAAGGAGCAGACTCACCCAGAGTAGAATCCAGTCAGCTTTTATATTGGTTGGGCTGAGGCCTTTCGAATAAAAGTATTGTACCACATAACGATGACCAATTTTCTTCATTTTCACAAATTCACCGAGAAAGTTTGCTATTGATGGCTGTCAAACAAATACTAAACAACGCAGCGTCTTCAAACTTGAAATATATTCTTTATAGATTGTGTACTTTCTAATACAGCGATATTTTTAAACAAGTGGGGAAGTTACAAGCGAATGATGAAGTGGGCAAGCCGCGCCCGCTGTAAGAAAAATCTGTTTAACGGGAGAAGATTTTTTTAGGAAACGGAATTCAAATATATTCTTGTTTTAACCACACAATAAATTGCTGAGATTATAAAATAGCGAATAATGAACAAGTGAGCAAGTGAACAGGTGAACATACTAAGAAACTATCGATAAAGGAATTAGTAAGCGAGCAATCAAGAGGCATATGAACAATTGAAAAAATAATAGATGAACTCTTCAAAAAACAATCGAAACAATTAGGGATTGGTAAAATGAGTGCAAGCGAGCAGGTAAATCAAGGAACAAGTGATATATTATTCAGTGACTTCATTAGCGTCAACAGGAGACTATAGAGGGTGGTCCCAGAAGTACAGCCCCAATGAAGAAAACAAAAATTTTGGAAAAAAATATATTTATTTTTCAAATAATCTTCTTGCAGCTATCAAAGAGTTTGATCTTCCTCTTGAAGATGATCACATGGTGATCGAAACTCCTGTCGATGTGTTAA